GCATCCATCCATCCATCCATCCATCCATCCATCCATCCATCCATCCATCCATCCATCCCACTCTGAGGTTTAGCTGATCACATTAGGGCGGCGGGCGACAAGCATCCATTCGAGGAACGCTCGTTTCATTCACGGTTGTGTTCACCTCCAGTAAACTAATGAACCTGAACTAAAACCAGCTGTAGGAACATCTGGAGGACAAAATGTGACTGGAATCTGTTCAAGATCAAAGAAGCCTTTCATGTTTTAAGAATAAATAACATGAAGTTTCAGCTCGGAGGACGACTCTCGGCTACGACCACATCCAGCTTTAGATGAACGTCTGCGACACTGAACGAGTTACAGCCGTTTGTTTATTTGTCAGTCGTTCCTGGCAGCCATCTTGAATCAAGTCGACTCCATTAGACGAAGATCCAGTAGAAGATATTTTGCTAACACAGCCCCTATAGTAAAAAGAGAGTAATCAAACGGACCTGCTCCTGGACCAGCTTTATTTTGCGTTTCCCTCCTCGGAGTTCGTCCTCCATCCTCTTCTCGTGCTGCAGGGACAGCGTGGACAGACGGTTGTCCTTCAACACAAAAAGACAGGAAGACGTCTCACACTTCATGTCTTGTTGCTAAACGTCTGAAGACATTTCTGCTGTTGTGGACCAGAGCGACGAGCTTAACGTTTCTAAGACGAAGGAACTTGTTGAGGATTTTAGAAAAAAAGAATAAATCCTGCTCTGTTCCACGGAACGATGGGGAAGTGGTGAACTCGTACAAATATCTGGGAACGGTTTGATTCCCAATTTAAATTTGACTGCGTTTTCAAGCGAGGTCAGCAGACAACTCAGTTACTGAAACTAATTATTTTAATATCAAAAAGGATTTTAAACTTTTGTCTGTAAAAACTAAGAACAGCTTCAGAGCTTTAAGGTTGGACCAGAACAACCCGGTCCAGCAGAGAAACTGCATTTCTAACAGAAGCAGGAGCTTCACAAAGGTGGGGAGAAGAAACCGCAGCAGGACCACACGCAGTCAGCTGATCATGCCCCGTCATCCAACCGACTGCACCCAGTCCCACGACCACGCCCTGTCCTCTGA